TTCCTTGAACGATATGGTAGCGCATAGAAACTTGTTTGATGGAATTACTGGTACCGGCTCGACCATGGTAGTCTCTTCTTCCAACCTTCTGGAGAGAGAGTCCGCTTTGCCATTCTTGGAACCTGGACGATAAGAAATTATAAAATCAAACCGGTCGAAAAATAGACTCCATCTAACTTGTCTTGCTGAAAGAGTTTTGCAGGTCTTCAGGAACTGGAGGTTTCGATGGTCTGTGAATATGGTGAAGGGGAATTTGGTTCCCTCCAAAAGGTGTCTCTAGGTCTCGAGGGCCGCCTTAATGGCAAGCAGTTCTTTCTCTGCAGGAGTCAGAGTCCTTGAGTAGAACGCTACTGGGTGAAGAGGGGTATCTACTCCTATTCGCTGAGAGAGTACACCCCCAATCGCCATGTGAGAGGCATCCACCTCCAGAACGTAATGGTATTCAGGGTTAGGAATTTTCAGGATTGGGGCAGATGTGAATCTGGTCTTCAGTGTATCAAATGCCCTCTGAGCGTCAGATGACCACTTAAAAGGAACTTTAGAGCTGGTTAGGGAAGTGAGAGGTCTCACGATAGCAGAGAAGTTCTTAATGAACTTCCTGTAATAGTTTGAGAACCCCAGGAAGCGTTGTAAGGCCTTCCTGGAGTGAGGAACGGGCCACTTGTGGATGCAGTCGGTTTTTTCTCGATCCATCTCTATACCGGAGGGGGAGATGACATATCCTAAGAAGGTGATGACGTTTTGTTCAAAGACACATTTGGATAACTTCACATACAATGAATGAGCCCGGAGTCGGGAGAGAATCCAGCGGACGTGCTTCCTGTGGCTTTCTAGATCCTCTGAGTATATAAAAATGTCATCTAGGTACACTACAACACATACATCCAGTAAATCTCTAAAGATGTCATTTATTAGGTGTTGAAAAGTGGCTGGGGCATTGCAAAGCCCGAATGGCATGACAGTATATTCGAACAGACCATAGCGGGTTTTGAAGGCACTCTTCCACTCATCCCCCTCTTTGACTCTGATCAGATTGTAAGCACCCCTTAGGTCTAACTTCGTGTACACCCGGGACCGTTGTAACCTCTCTATAAGCTCGGGTATCAACGGAAGGGGGTAGCGGTTTTTCACCGTCACCTTGTTAAGTGCTCTATAGTCGATGATTGGCCGGAGAGTACCGTCTTTGTTCCGTGCGAAAAACATCCCAGCACTGGCTGGGGAGGTGGAAGGACGGATAAACCCCTTCCTGAGGTTTTCCTCCAGGTACTCCTTCAGGTGCACCAGTTCAGGCTGGGATAGCGGGTAGATCCTCCCTGTGGGGATTGAGCTACCTGGTATAAGGTCTATAGGACAATCATATGGCCTATGTGGCGGAAGAGCTTCAGCCAGGCGAACACTAAACACGTCTGTGAATTCTTTGTATTGGGGAGGAACCATAGTCTCAGTCACTTGCATCAACGGGGTTATGGGATAACAGGTCTCCTTGCAATAGCGTGATTGCAGTTGGAGCGTGCGTTCCTGCCAGAGGAAGGAAGGTTGATGTAGAAGGAGCCATGGCAACCCCAATACAATAGGAAACACAGAGGAAGTAATGACTTCTAGAGATATAAACTCAGTATGTGACCTAGCGCACGTGACTAGAAGGGGTTGGGTCTGATAGCAGATTGGACCAGATGGAGCAGTGGTTCCATCCAAAAAACTGACGGACAATGGGGTGGTGCGTTTTACTAACGGTATTTTATTTTTTGAGACTAGACGTTGGTCAATGAAGTTGCCACAAGCCCCTGAATCAATCATAGCCTCTGCGACGATCCTCTCTTGGTCCCACTGCAAGGTTAAGGAGAGAGATACGTAAGAGTGAGGCTGAGTAATGGTAGGAGTGACCTTACAGATCCGTAGAGGGCTACCTTCAGCCTTGCGGTTGGCTAGGGGACAGGAGGAGACGGTGTGTCTGGGAGAGGCACAGTAGAGGCAAAGGTGTTTTTCACGTCTTCTAGCTCTTTCTATAGGAGTCAGGGGTCCTCTGACCACCCCAACCTCCATCGGTTCTTCAGTAGGGGAAGAACTCCGTGGACCAGGACTAGAGGAGTATCCTGACGCTCTTTCTGCTCTCCTTTCTCTGAGCCTTCGGTCAATCGTTATCGATGTTTTAATGATGGCATCCAAAGAAGAGGGAAGTTCCCCTCTAGCGATCTCATCTTTCAGAGCTTCTGATAACCCAAGACGAAATTGGTTCCATAAACCGACACCGGTCCACTCGGTCTCTCGAGCCCACCTCTTGAATTCGGCCACGTAGTACTCTACGGGTCTCCTGCCTTGTTTGAGGGCCCTAGTAGCTGTCTCAGCTGTTAGCTGTTTTGTGGAGTCCTCATAGAGGAGTGACATGGTGTCCAGAAATAGAGGGAAGGAGTTCAGAACAGGATCCTCCTTTTCGATGTAGCTATCGGCCCAAGCTCTGGGCTCGCCCCTGAGGTAGGATATGAGGGTCAGGACCTTTATCCTATCGGTCGGGTAAGTACGAGGCTTTAGTTCGAACATCAGTTTGCTTGCGTTAACAAACTCTCTATACCGCCGTCTATCCCCAGTGAAGAAATCAGGGGGACTGACCTTAGGTTCAGCTGCTTCTCTTTCTTGAGGGGGCTAGGGAGGATTTGCGGCTCTGAGTGTCTGGTTTTCTCGTCTGATGGCCTGCACTGTAAGGGTCAGTGCTTCGACCTTTTGTGTCAGAGCGAGGACATGAGGCGTGAGTTCCGCTGAATACATTGTTTACTTTAAGGTTCCACTATTCTGTAACGTGCCCTTGGTTTATGGGGGGTGAATGGATCACAGCTGCGGGAACAGACAAGGAATAGTGCTAAGTATGGCAATCAGGCTAGAACCCCAGGCGTCTCTATCAATCTTGACGGAGAGTTAGGGGTTTACGCATCATATGCCACAAAGGAAAGTCTACGGCGTGACCCTGTTTTGGTTATTCACTTCATAACAGTAAGGGTCCATATGCCGTTAAAGGAAACAGGACTGCATGATAGTAGCAGTATTCCTAAGTATGAACTATATTCAGGTTCAGGTAGGCAAGAGGTGTAGGGGTTAAACCAGGGTCGGAGCAGGTGACAACAGTCACTTCAGAGAAAGTCTTTGATAATGCGAAAGTCCAGCAAGCTACCTGCCAACCCCCCACCATGTAACAGTACTTGCGGTTTTGGGGCTGAGTCCCCTGGTCTCCTGGGATGGATTGGAGTTGAGCAGAGCGTGGTAGCTGGAGTCCCTGTAGAGTAGTGGTGGTTCTGAGGCTCCTGGCATCTATGGGGCAACAAACCCAATAGTGGAAAGGGGGGGGGGTCATTTTACAGTTCTCTTGTAGACAGCCATATAACCCGAAGGTTTAAGACTTCTGTGTACCTCAATGGACAAGTAAGAAATTATATTTGTATAGTAGGGATGCACGGATACTATTATCGGTGCCAAAACCGAGTATTTGGGAGAGTACTCGTATTTACCCAAATGCTCCCGATGCCTATCCCGAACTTCCGGTATCAGGAAGCTGGGCGGAGCGGCATTACACGCTGCCTGGCTTCCTGATTGGCCAGGAAGCCGGCTCCACGCTCAATGGTCACATGGTGACCAGGCAGCATGGAGCCGGCTTGCCAGCTTCCTGGCTTCCTTAATGGGACTTCCGGTATCAGTATTCGGTATCGGTGATTACCGGAAACAAAAATATCGGTACTGGATTTTTAAAAACTGGTATCGGTGTATCCCTATTGTATAGTAAAAATTGGGCATGTAATGCATGAATCATACTGTGAGCATTTTAGAACATATATACAGTATACTGCATTTTTTGTTTTAAATGCTACAAAAAAAATTGATAGATTAGAGCAAAATTGCGTGTCTGGAGAATCATCGTTGTGCTTTTATCAGTAGCTGATTCTAACAAGAAACATTTGTCTTCACGTCAGTGAAGCAGAAGCTTTTCTGATAAACCTTTCCAAAGAGATTCAGAAAAGGCTGGAGTCTGTGAAAATGAAGGTAAGAAAACTCACGCTTAAGATCATGGTGCGCTGGAGCACCCATAGAATCTGCTAAATATGGGGATCACGGAATCTGCGATAATGTAGCAAGGTGAATACACTGTGGGGCTAGCTATAAAAACATGTACTGATTTCTCTTCCAATGTTACTTCTCTTCACATTACGTAACACTGCCTGAATTGTTTCTCAACCTTTTATACCGGTCATCTTTCTTTTGTTATGAGCAATACCATTTCTTCTATACAGAATGTGCAAGTATATACATTAATCCCCTAATATGTTTGTATTGCACCCTTTACTGATGAAATAGACAAGGTATACTCCCAACACATTAGTTGCTTGAGACCCTGATGCAAGGCATGCCTATACTAGACCCATGTTGCTGTGATTTATAGGAAAATAAAGGTTTCTGTGCTGCCATGTAGAAGTTTCTTTTAGCAACTGCTGCTTCCATTTACTTCACAGAGTAATGACAATCACCAACGGTCCCCTTTTACTTATTTACGTGCAATCCTTAAGAATAGTCTGTTATGAGAGAAACATGGATGCTGCCATTAGCTGCCTACAATTTAAATCTGTATTTGTATCATGTTTACCACAACATGTAAAGATTAAAAAATATATTTTTTTTATATAGAACGGCAACCCTAGAACAAACAACCGATAATGCCAAAATAATTGAAAAAGAAGTTCTAAAAATGTTTAATTCAATGAAGTTGAATGTTTCAGATATGAGAGGGGTAAGTAGATTAAACAACATAATTCGCTTTCTTTCTTTATTTCTTTTATTAGTGTTTCCCATTGCTACAAAAATTTCATATTGTCATTCCATAATTGCGAAGTCAGCAACCAATTTCAGCATGTGACAAATTTTAGAATGTTCACTCTTTATTGGGTAGAAAGTCAGTTGTTCTTGTGTGTTCTCTGTTTTATTTAGGGTTGGACTTCAGATGCATCAACTGGATACAGCACACATATCTAATTTTGGCCCTTTGTCACTAAAACCTGGTCTGATGCCCGGAGGGTCCCGCTCTCTGATTGACATGTTTCATGAACAGAAAAAAAAGAAGCCCGCAGAGGAACTACCTGAGAACAGGACAGGTAATCTGGTATATGATGTGCTATGTTTGTTTTTTGATAACAAGCTGCACTTGGGTAGTGGCCACTAGTTCATCCCTTGGATGAGTTCTGTGGCTGGTTAAACGCTGAATAAAACCAACTAGATACGTTAGTAACCCCAGTGAACGCAAAAACACCTCCTTATTATTGGTTGTAAATATTGGCTGACCTTGTTATGTCCTCAGTCAGTCGCTGTCAGGGAAATAAGTGTTGTAGATCTTTTCGTGGCCAGTTGTAGCATGGAAACAATCCTTCCTAGGGCAGGGCAGATCCACAATACAATCATAAATGTGTAGTTTGAATGTCACTGCATTCATATTCACTATCTGATTTATAATGTGTCTTCTTTATGATATTAATAGCTTATCTACAGTGGAAAATGTCTTCATCATTTAGCTAGTATGATAAACCTTGAATGTCACACTTTTTATTACAAAGTTGGTCTTTTACATACTTTCTTCCTTAGTATAATACTATACATTTTTAGCTCCATTTTAACAAAGGTTTCTAATTCCCTTCCCCAGAACATCATAAATAAATGTTATTGTGTTCGTAATCATATTATTTTCTATGTCTATTAATCATATCTGCTACTTTAAGTATTAATAAAGGCAACTGAAAGGACATCACAGTTGAATAGAAATTGGCTATCATTTTTATTATTGTATTTTTTTTTCATTATTTGTCATCTTTGAAAATGCTAACATCTTAAAATAATACTGTCAGCCCCCATTTTTTATTTTATTGATAAGGTTGAATATAAAATGGCTTACATACAATTAGATACTAGTAAAAAGTTTAGCAATTCATCAGATCTTTATATGTTCACATTATTCTGAAATCTGCTGAAATTAATTTCTAGAGTTAAGGGCAGGATAATGGTGACAATTTACTATACCAGAAATGTCTCTGTGTGGCTCTTCCATAATATTTTGTTTTTCATTCTCACAGTTTTTGTTGCTGCTTTGGACGTTGAGATTTCATCAGCATTAGGAACATGTGCCTCCATTATTTCTAATAAGAGCGAAGCTTCCAGCCAAAATCCAAGTACTATCACAGCTGCTTCTCCTGTGAAGAGAAATGGCCTGCACACTCCTATCAGTGTGAAATCAAGAGTTAATTTCACTATAGAAGTTCCATCCCCTTCTCAGGTTGGTGATTTCTTCTACAATGTATCTGGAGCTTAGGCTGTATGAAATAATCTGTAGTAATTGCATTTACAAAATGGTTTATTTAAATATCCTGCATCTCTGGATATATTACAAAAACATCCACAGAATTTGCCATACAAAATATTGGTTTACTGCGCATTAATTGCCTATACTTTGATAGCTGCTAAACTTGCTATAACAAGTCAGTGGAAAGATCCACAATCCCCAGTGTGTCTGCACTTCATCACCTCATAAATAATCCATTCACATTTGAAAATATGAATCGTTACAAAAAGATAACGCTCAATATCGAGCTTGGCGTAAATGTATAACCCATCAGTTGGGTTCATGAAGGAACTCGGCAGTTCTTGAAGGAACTCGGCAGATAGGTTGTTCCAAACATCTTGGAGAACTAACCACATTGCTTCTGTGGGTGTAGACCACCTGAAATTCTTCTGTGTCTCCATGTAATCCCAAAAAGACTCAATGATGATGAGATGCAGGGCTCTGTGGGGGCCAAACCATTACTTCCGGGACTCCTTGTTCTTCTTTACGCTGAAGATAGCTCTTAATGACATTACAGTGAGGAAAATAATTATTTGATCCCCTGCAAATTTTGTAAGTTTGCCCACTTACAAAGAAATGAAAGGTCTATAGTTTTTATCATAGGCGTATTTTAAATGATAGAGACAGAATGTCAATAAAAAATCCAGAAAAATCACATGATGCAAATGTTATAAATTGAGTTGCAGTTCAGTGAGTAAAATAAGTATTTGATCCCCTACCAACCAACAATAATTCTGGCTCCCACAGACTGCCTATGTGGTACACAGATTAGTCCTGTCAATTTAAGAAGGTGCTCTTAACGATAACTCGTTATGTATATAAGACACCAGTCCACAGAATCTCTTTCTTCCATTCAAACCCCACCACCGTGGACAAGACCAAAGAGCTGTCAAAGGACATTAGGGACAAGATTGTAGACCTGCACAAGGCTGGAATGGGCTGCAAGACTATCAGCAAGAAGCTAGGTGAGAAGAAAACAACTGTTGGAGTGATTATTTGCAAATGGAAGGAATACAAAATAACCATCAATTCCCTTGGTCTGGAGCTCCATGCCAGATTTTGCCTCATGGGGTAAGGATGATCATGAGAAACGTGAGGGATCAGCCCAGAACTACACGGGAGGAGCTTGTGAATGATCTCAAGGCAGTTGGGACCACAGTCGCCAAACAAACCATTGGTAACACAATACACCACCATGGATTGAGATCCTGCAGCGCCCGCAAGGTACCCCCCTTCAAGAAGGCACATGTACAGGCCCGTCTGAAGTTTGCCAACGAACATCTAAATAATTCAGAGAAGGATTGGGAGAAAGTGCTGCGGATCAGATGAGACCAAAATTGAGCTCTTTGGCATTAACTCGACTCGCCATGTTTGGAGGATGAAAAATGCTGACTATGACCCTAAGAACACCATCCCTACAGTCAAGCACAGAGGTGGAAACATTATGCTTTGGGGCTGTTTCTCTGCTAAAGGTACAGGCTGACTTTGCCGCATGAGGGCCACTTTCACGGGGCCACGTATTGTAAAATCTTGGATGAGAACCTCCTTCCAAAGCAGTGGCTCAAGAAGAAGCACATTAGGCTCATGGAGTGGCCTAGCTAGTCTCCAGACCTTAATACTATTAAAAATGTATGGAGGGAGCTGAAACTTTGAGTTGCCAAGCAACAGCCAAGAAACCTTAAGGATTTAGAGAAGATCTGTAAATAGGAGTGGACCAAAATCCCTCCTGAGATTTGTGCAAACCTGGTAACCAACTACAAGAAACGTCTTACCTCTGTGCTTGCCAACAAGCAGAGGCGGCACTCTAATTAGGCAAATTAGGCAGTCGCCTTAGGCCTCGCACTCCCGAGGGCCTCGCGGCCGCCTAGTTTGCCCTGTCGGCACATCACTTCCCTGGCAGCCAAGTAGCGTTATGAGCTCTCAGCCCTGTCGCTGTCAAACGGAGACTCTACGTTTGACAGCGACAGGGCTGAGAGCTCGTCCGTTTCCTCAGTCAATCCATCCACTCGGTCTTCTGGAGCTCCGCCCACCAGCCAATGAGAAGACACCTCACCCCACCCATCCACCGCACGAGGCTCTCAATCTAGCTGGGAGGGCGGGGGTTTACCTTCGGACGCGGATGCAGACATCGGCGGCACCAGCTGGTCCTTCATGATCTGCTTTCTTCTGCCAGCTTCCGCCCGCGAGAAGCGGCCTTCATATTACTGGTGAGTGGCGGCCTTGTGGAGAGCAGTGGCGGATCCGAGGGGGGGAGTCTAAATGCTGCTCCAGAGTCCCGTACCAGAGTCCCACTCACTGCCTCTGCCACCAGCAGGTCCCGCAGTGTAGTGACAGTGTGACACAACTACATACAGCTGTCCCTCAGTGTCACAGACTTTACTGCGGTTCATTGTAAAAAAAAAACTTTGTACAATGAACTGCATTAAAGTCTGTGAAACTGAGGGACACAACTGTATGTACCATCGCCGGCAGCCACATCCTGCTGTTTGGGTCATCGTGAGGACCCTCTCCTGTGACAGGAGAGGGGGCTCTGTATTGCATTGTAGGTGCAGGGGAAGGGGGGGACTGTGAATTATTTAAAATGTGTGTGGGGGGACACAGACTGGGGTTGTTTATATATATGTATATATATATATACCGCGGAACGGACGGGGGAGAGGGCGGGTACAGCTGGCTCTGCCTCTAGATAGGCAGAGCCAGCTGTCAGTCATGCAGCTGGGCGGATCCCGGCAGAATTGTCGGGATCCGCTTCAGCTGCGGCGTCTCAGCATACCGCGAGCTACAGCTCGCGGTATACTGAGCCTAGGCTGAGGGAGGACGCTAGTTTGTGTCCTTCCGTTACCCTAAGGAGAACTATGGGGAAAAGCCTTAACCTCATAGTTCTCCTTTAACTTGAATGGGGATAGCTGCCAGTTGTAAACGCCAATTTAGGGATTTCTGCTGCAGTAAAACGCAAGTTTCTGATGCAGGAATCCCTAATCGCACCTAAACCTTCATATATGAATGGGGCCTTATTGTGTCTATATTGGGGTCTGTAGTACCATATCGCATATAGTTAAATTTTATTTTGAAGTATGAAATTTGGCAAGCGGCCCCCATGAGAGAAAAAAAGTTGTCGAGTGGCCCCAGAGATGGAAGAGGCGGGGGCGAAGGGGGCAGAGACACCGACGGAGGTGGGAGGTGTCGCCGGAGCTCCAGTCGGGCGGCAAAGATGACAAAGAGGCTGTGTCGGGTGCCGAGGATGAGGAGGACGTCCAGCCGGGCGCCAAGTAGGCCATGTTCCAAAGAGGTCAGGCCGTGCAAGGTAAGAGGACTGTGCTGGCAGAGCCAAGCAAAGATTCTGCACAGCTCAAGGTGCACCGGGGGCCTGAGCCTCGGGGGGGCTCAGCAGACCCAGGCAAGGTAGGACAAGAGATAGGGGGGCAACCGCCGACCATCCGTCTGGCCGCAAGTTCGAGAGTATTGCTGGGAGTTGTAGTCCCCTATAGCCATTAGTATTCTGCATTTCTTTAGAGAGTATTGCTGGGAGTTGTAGTTCTCTATATCCGTTACCATGCTGCATTTCTGTTGAGGGTATTCCTGTGAGTTGTAGTCCCCTATAGCCATTAGTATTCTGCATTTCTTTAGAGAGTATTGCTGGGAGTTGTAGTTCTCTTTATACCTTTCACTTTTATCGCTTGCATTTTTTTCTCATTATGGGCCTGAGTGGGGCCTCATTTTTAAGTTTCGCCTAAGGCCTTGCAAAGTCTAGAGCCGCCACTGTTTGTCAGGTTGGGTTTCCTAATTCTAGTCATCGTTAAAAGTCCATGTAACACTGCAGGAGCACAGGGACAGAGTGTTTTGTTGTTCAGGAAGTTCCTGAACAAGGACTTTCATAGCAGGATCATGAGGTATTATTTTAATGAAATCTTCAGATTTAAAGGAGAACTATAAGGTGAGTGCTTTCCACTCACCTCATAGTTCTAGCCGACCTGTGACAATGAGACTGTCACAGGTCGGCTCAGTAGATCGGGAGGTGAGCGAACACATACCGGCGTTCGCTCACCTCTCGATCCTGTCACGGCTCTCCGCCGTGACAGTGGAGGGGCTGAATTCCCCCCTCCCCGCTCCGATCCACCAGCGCTGACTGGCGGAACGGACGGGGGAGGGGGCGGGAACAGCTGGCTCTGCCTCTAGATAGGCAGAGGCAGCTGTCAGTTCAGTCACGCAGCTGGGCGGATTCCGGCATAATTGTCGGGATCCGCTTCAGCTGCGGCGTCTCAGTATACCGCGAGCAGTAGCTCGCGGTATACTGTGCCGTCTCAGTATACGGCGAGCTACAGCTCGCCGTATACTGAGCCTAGGGTGACGGGAGGACGCTAGTTTGTGTCCTCACATTACCCTAAGGAGAACTATGGGGAAAAGCCTTAACCCCAAATTCTCCTTTAAAATAATGAAAAATGACTTTGAAATTACAATAACATGATGAAACTTGAGAATTCAGTAATTGGGTTTACATCTACTGTAATAATTCTGCCATGTGCAACACCCTCTAATGTGTTCTGATGCTATCCCTGTATTAACTGATAGGAGTTCGGAGTATTCTGTATGCAGTATGTCATGAACAAACAATGTATCTCTGTTCTTTGTCTTTTGGAATGCCTTCTGTTAGCAAAAATCTGAGTATTTACATATATTTTATTTTTCAGGTTGAATTAGGTCCCTCAACTTCAAATGCCCAATGATCCCTGACAGAAGGATGCAATTCCCACAGAGCAAAAGCCCCCAAATTGGCTGGTGCCATTGAGTTCAATGATGTGAAAACCCTGCTAAAAGAGTGGATAACTACAATTTCTGGTATATGCTGCCTAAATCTAACAAAATGTAAACTGACTGCCTATGCTTGTGCAGAATAAACCTTCAGGTTAATGTTCCTTGATTGGATGCAACCATGCATTCATAACTCTCAGCCTGATTTGTTAGTCTATTCCAGAATATATTGTTTAAACAACAGAATTATGTGCTTATAGTAAGTTTAGTTAACAATTCCATTTACTTAGGATTGAAAAAAAGGAGATCAGGTAGGAAAACTCTGACCATATTCAAGTTTAATGTGTTGTGTATGAACCAAAAATGATCACTGTGTCCAAGGCTCATTTGTCATTCTAAAAATGCTAGGTTCCATGTTCCTTTTGCTCACGCCTCAGTACCCAGAACAAGTATCCTGGTAAAGACTTCTAACTTTCCTGATGTGCATACTTTCTTGGGGTCAGTGACCCCATAAAAGTGTTGAAGCCAGAAGGAAAATAGAAAATGATGCAGCAATAAGCCAATAAGCTTGTGATATGCAGCGTTCTTTACCTTTCCGCTGTAGCCTGTCCCATTGAAAGAGAACTGTGGCCTAACCTTTGGAACCAATTTTATCAGGATCCACCCCAGCGCCTGATTGACAGCTGGTTCTGCCTGCCCCCTACCTTGTCCATCCCTCCAGTTAGCACTGGAGGAACGAAGAGGGGAGGAGGCAATCCCTGTGGGGAGAGGTGACTCACAGTCACCACTCTCTCCAAGTAGAAGATCATGAACTGAGCGAACAGCGGTATGTGATTGCTCAATTCTCGATCAATAGGGCTGACATTTGACAGCTTCAGTGTCGCATGTTGGCTCCAACTATGGGGATGAGTGTATTTCACTCTCCCCCTAGTTCTCCTTGAAATGCATCTTCAAAAAATTGCCTCTGCAGGGTAACTTTTACCCAACATCCTATTTAGGAGACTGGCCATCCTAGCAGCTCTATGTGTAGATATAGTTAGTGTCAATGTCATCATGTCAGTGCTTGCAGTCAGGCAGTGCTAACATCAGCAGATCAGCACTGCTGAAGTAGTAGGAGCCCATGCATGTATAGTGCCTCTGCCCACTTGGCTCCATTATTCTTACCCACCTCCTGTCCCTCTTTGCCCTGTTACACAGAGCACTGTAAAAAGAGTGGAATGTACTTAAGACAAAAGTTTGCAATCCTGAACTTGAATGTGCTCACTTATCTGTTACATGTGATAAAAGCAGAGATTAGTTCCTCTTCTGTTCCAGGGTTGCTAACACTATGCTTCGTGGCTTCTATGTTCGGGGTCTGTGGAAAACCTGTATATGGCTTCACTGATCTGCCTGCAGCACAGGTTTACCCTTCACACCAACCTTAAACATAGAAGCTGTGGAGCATACTTTGAGCAGCCCCAGCATAGAAGAGAGAGTGATATCTGGTTTTGTTATAAGCAAATGAGGAAAACTGTGGAACTGTGGAACTCCACCATCAAATAGTACATTCCAGCTCCAGATTTTAAACTGCTAACATACCCTGGAATTCATAGAGTCTTAAACACTCTTTAGAATTGTGTCATGACTCCACTTGACAAATGTTGGTGTTTGTGACAAATTCATGCACCTGTTGGAAATGTACATGAATTGATGGCACAGTGCGTGCTGAGGCTGGATTATGATTACATACTGGACACTCCATCCTCCGTGCAGCTCAGTAATGCTGAGCCTAATAAAAAAACACAGACCCAGTGTTACTGGGCTTTCTTCCCAGCCACTGCATCTGTCACACAGAGAGGTGCAGCGGCTAGGAAGTTGCTGTTGGGTGGGCAGAGTCTGATGTTGAGAAGCCAGTGCCCCATCAGGTCCACCTGCCCTCAGCCTTTTAGCTGTCACAGCCTGATGATGATGCTGAGAGACTTGTTCCCCCATCTGGTCCCCCTTCCTTGCAATTGACAGCAGCAGGTGGATTCCAAAGCCATAATGGGCTGTCTAGCGTCTGTGGAATCCTCCCACTGCCGTTCTGTAAGTCACAAGGAAGGTGGACCTGATGGGGGCTAGTCTCTCAGCATCACCCTACAGGCTTTGTGTATCGGACAGTGTCATTGCAACCAATGACACATAGCTGAACACTGACAGTGAACAGTCACTGGTTGCTAGGATGCCTTAGGCTGTACAGGCGACAACCACCTAGCCACCAGTGACACTACGTAGCCAAAAGCATGCAAGTGACAAGTAGGGGGGTGGCACATGCAAAGATGTATACACATCTTTGCTGCCCCACTCTGATGGCATACACAGCTAGGTCAAAGAGTTGGACTTGGTTACCCCCAGATTAATTAACTATGAACTCTTTTAGACTTTGTCACAGCAATAGTGACTCATTTTAAAAGTGTTGTAAAAAAGAACTACCTGAATGTCACATATGTTGGTAATGTTAACAAAACTGTTGTAATACAACATTGGATTAATTAATGTACAACATTACAACATTACAAGTCCTGCATGTATTACTACATTCAATGTAATACTGTTGTAATACATGCAGAACTTGTACAAGGGCTATACCGCCCAAAATAGTGTCACAAATGCTTTATTGAATTAATCACTACCCTGTAATATGGGATTTGATGAATGGCTCCACCTCTGTCAGGACTAACAATTATACATTTGGTTATATTTGAGATGATGGTTTAAAGCTTCCCTGTACCACCCCTCCCCCTCTTATTCCGCAGATCCTATGGAGGAAGATATATTACAGGTGGTGAAATATTGCACTGATTTAATAGAAGGAAAGGACTTGGAGAAATTAGACTTGGTCATAAAATACATGAAAAGGTATCTTGTCTCTTCCATAGAACACAGTATACACCAAGCTGGCAGTAGCAGTGACAATCATAAATGTAGAACTTCTAGAAGACAGATTATGTGACTTGACACATTGCGTTGGCATGATTCATTTATACTCAGTACAAGCTTTATACTACATAAGTGACTTTATTTTTCAATATGCATTTTCTTGAATAAACTCAATAAATGACTAGAAGTCTACACCTGGCTACACACATATAGATCTATCCAACATTTACCAGGAAGAGCCTGTGATTTTGATGCAGCAAAATGCATTTCAAGTAAACAAATAAAATCCCATTGTTAGCTACGTGGCTGGCTTACATCTAGGCGTGCAACTCTATGGGGTTATTTACACCTACACAGGCTGCAGGCATGCGGAACATTGTGACTCCAGGGTCAGTGAAATTTAGAGGCCTACCGATGCAGTCTCATCACATTCCATCTACACCGTGGCTGATGCATTTTGTCAGCACTTACCTGGTGAGTTTTTTCTCTCTCTTTTATTCTTTAGTTCTCACATTACAAGTATCATTTTTATTTCTTTAGGAGCTCTCCCTAGGCTCCACTGAGCACTGCTGCAATACAACAGGAGCCGAAATTCCAGCACCCCCGCAGCATCAGAATGGTGGTGTGTCTCCAACCCCCCCTTTGCTGTGCCCTTTACCAAATGTCACCTTGCTGTGCTTTGTAAATAGCACAGCAGAGAAAGGGGAGTGAAGGTTCAACACCAAAACTAGTGTTGCTGCAGCAGGGAGCCAACGTTTGGTTTCTGGTGTATAGCAGTGGAGCTTAGAAAGCTCCTAAAGGAAAAAAAATGTTGACACTTGTAATGTGAAAATTAAAGATTTTAAAAAACCCAGTAAAAATAGTTGTGCCTGGAGTTGGGTTTTATGGTGTCGTGGAATCAGACCCCTAAGAAGCCTTAGCTTGTCGCTTATGTTACCCTGTTTTTCATTTTAGGGTAATGCAGCAGTCTGTGGAGTCTGTTTGGAATATGGCATTTGACTTCATTCTGGACAATGTCCAGGTGGTTTTACAGCAGACCTATGGAAGCACATTGAAAGTTGTTTGATCTTCATCCTGGGGCAGAGGAGCCTGGTATCCTTGCCTACCTGTACCATAAGTGCTTAATCATTTAACATTTCTTTTAATAAATTGTTTTTGTACATTTTCTTTCTCAAGTGCCAAATTTGTCAGTATTGCATGTAAATATTTGTGTTCCAGATTCTTTTATTGTAGTATAGGATATTTGAAAAATGTTTGTTTATAAGAGTTTTATGGATTTTTACAGTGAAGTGTTCACAGTTGTTTAATAAAGAAATGACTGATTTACACTGTGGGTGGTTTTCAGTGATCCTAAAAGCACTATTTATGTTTTAATTATCTCCTATAGAACATTGAAGTTAAACAAAAAACCTTTAGCACAAGGTTAAAGCAGTCCAATAACTTGCTACATTAAAATATTTTTTTTAAATTCTTTTGCCTGAACATAAGAAAATATGTACAAAATGACAAAGGTTGTGTATTCACAAATGTGTAAGTGACAAGACACCTATCCTGCAGCAATCTGGGACTTTTTAATTTTTTTTCTTTATCATTATGTTGAATTTTTATCAAAAATGTGTTTCATACCCTTGCATCATCTTTAAGCATGCTGCTGAAACTTTTGCACTCTGAGGGCCCGTTCACACCAGTTGCAGCAGCGCCCCGGCCCGATTCTGGCCAGAACGCACTGCCTCGCATTGCGGCCGGCTCAGTTCTTAGTGGGACAGGAGGGGGCGTGGCGAGCCATTGTGCCTTGCGATCCCGTGCGGGCGATCGCATTGTGGCCGGAGGGCGTGGCTACGGTGCCATTCACTTCAATGGCCCACCACGCCCCCTCCTGCCCTACAAAAAAGTGAGCCGGCCGCAATGCGATGCAGTGCGTTCCGGCCAGACTCGGACCGGAACACACTGCATATGGTGTGGACGTACTACATTCACATTAGGCGCAATTTAGATGTGTTTTAAAATGGTTTTCTAAAAAGAATATTAAATATCTATATTATATCTATATTATACATGCGCACGCACACATCTAATGAAAGCTGCATTGCTAAGCAAATTCACGTACAGAGAGGACACAAAAACATGTGATGGAAGCTCAGCATTTTGATGCACAATGCATTTACTCTGCACCAGACCAGACTTAGAAACCCAGAATAAATGAAAACTTTAAAAGCAGAACTCTGGGCACATGAAAACTTAACCCTTGCAGTGGGTAAGTGTAAGTGTTAAGTATTTGGTTTGTCTAGGGAGCTACAACAAAATCCTTGGAGCTGGCCTGTCCATAATCCAGGTTCACACCTAAGTGTTTTGTGCTCCAAACAGAGGCCCTGTAGAATAAAAAACAGTATTTTTAGAAAAAAAACAAATTAAATCAAAATTTAGTGCACAGAAACATAATATAATACCCAAGTTTTTGGTAAAATATAAAAGATTGGGTCACGTCGGGTAAATTGATACCAGGCATGTCAAGCCTTAAAAATGCGTTCACCCGTGAAGCTGCAAAAAACGTCAATACACAAAATTACCCATAGGGAACACTTTAAATGCTTTTATCTCTCATCAGTTTAGTGTTAACAGTGATTGATGGCCCTAGAATTATTGCTCTCACTCCGACATTAGCGGCGATATGTAACACGTGTAGTGCAATTTACGTTTTCACATGTAGGCGCACCAACGCGCATTTGCGTGTGTACTTTAAAATATATTTTTTTTATTTTTTTCATTTTTCTTATATGTTACTTTAATTTTTTTTTTTTTCAAACACTTTTTATTTTTTACACTAACCCTATTGCTATCACATAGGAGGCTACCAAGCACCCTATTTAATAGCAGATAGGGTGTAAAAAAAAACCAGACAGACGCCGGATCGCTTGTACATTAACAGCCATCGCTGGCTGGTAACAATGACTACTTCTGCGGGCCGCCGTCTATAGACGTATTGCCGCCCGAAGTGGTTAAGGCGGGGGGCTATAAACATGGAGTGGCAGAAAACAAAAGCCCATAATGGCTATAAATATCTAAATATACTTGAATTCCCTGAAATCTATTTGCAGGAAGCATTCGGTATTGGTAGATGAACTGGTAAACTCACCATACATGTTGAAGGGATAAAGTGAGTTTAATATTAGCATTAGTGTTTTTGTATCTAATTAGAGTGTTTGGTTAAGTTGTAACAAGTTTTGAGAAGGATTCTTGGAAGTCATGCAAATTCTGGGAAATGTGAATTCTGGGAAATTAAAAGTGTATTTCTAGTTTCAGTTTCATATCCATCAGTGTTTATCTGTGATTGGTTAATGCTGAATCACCGCCCCATGCTTCCTCCCACTATAGTGGCATGTACTCTCCTACTGGAGAGAATAGTACATATAATTTTATTACATTCCCTAATTATTATGGTCCCACACCCAGAACACCAAGTGCTAGAAAAGATCAAAATTAAATGTTTGTCTATGTCCACACGTTTCCCAATGTAACAATCGAGAGATGCACTATAACTAGTATACAGAAAATTGGTTCCCTCAAACACAAGGAGATCCCAAATATAGAGCTGGATATTAAATAATATTATACCAATATAGTAATAGTAAACGTTTATTATATAGAAACATAGAAAAAAACCACACAATACTGACATTTGAAATTCTAAAAGAGAAAGCTTCCCTACAATGGCTCGATTAGAGACAGTAAACCTAATGGCATATGGATGTCCAGAGATAGCGAGTTAGTGGGGCCGCTGATAAGCCCTGTTCACAGGATCACCCCCTCCATAGATGGTTTCTTTGTAGCCCGCTAGAAGCAAATTGTATCCCAACAATGTTGCAAGGAGTGAACACTGCCATTAAACTCCTCTCACAGGTGAGAGATGCCCCGAGACAATGAATCAGTAGAGCCGCTGATATGTCCGTGTTCACAGAATCACTCCTTTCATGAGATGCTTCTTTGTGAAGGTCCCCACACACCTTACGATAATCGTACGATAATCGTGGGAAATCCCGCGATCGTACGATTATCGTAAGGTGTGTGTAAGCCGTGCGACCTCTACTACTGTAAGGTCGCACGACTTTTAACTTACGGACATGTTCGAAAACCCGCCGAGCATGGTACGATGTTCGGAGGGGGTGTAGCATGTCCGTACGATAAAAGCCGTACGGGTCGGTGTGCGCAAGCGCACACTGCCCGTTCGGCATTGCGGTCATCGGAAAGCCCGCCCCTCAGGGGGCGTGGCTTGCGATCATCGCAAGTACGATCTGCCTATGCAAGATAGGCAGATTGTACGTTTTTTTAAGTACCTTACAACCATCGCAAGACAAAAGTCTTGCGATGGTTGTAAGGTGTGTGCCCAGCCTAACACTCCACAGACAGACATGTATCACAACAGCTTAGTAAAGAGTGGATAATTCCATGGAACTCCTGTACGGAGTAAAAGTAAAGGATGCGTGTGGAAACTGGAAGTATTGAGGGTTGAGGAATCACATTAGTTGCCCCAGGAGGTAAAATTAACCTCTTAGTGACCCCGCAATGCTCAAATCACAGTTGCGATGTCTGTTCAGTGCCGTCACAGACATCAATCACAGCCAGAGATAGTCTTTATGATCGTACAATCTGCCAATGGCTGCCAATGCCTTACAACTAGGGATGCACCGATAACGATATTTTGGTATCGAGTATGAGTACCGATACTTTTTTTCCAGTACTCGCTGATACCGAATACAGATGCCGGAAGTCTTATTAAGGAAGTCAGGCGGCATGTAATGACTCGCCACCTGGCTTCCTGATTAGCCGGGAAGCTGGGTGGCATGTAAAGACTCACCACCTGACTTCCCGATTACAGGGAAGCTGTCCCCATGCTTCTCGTCACTATGTGACGAGTAAGCATGGGGCCGGCTTTCTGGCCAATCAGGAAGATGGGTGCAGTGTAATGACGCGGCGCACGGCTTCCTGATTGGCTGGGAAGCTGGCTCCATGCTCCCTCGTCTTGAGGTGACGAGGGAGCATGAAGCCGGCTTCCCAGCCAATAAGAATACACGGTGCCCGACTTCCTGATTGGCCAGCTTCCCGACCAATCAGGAAGCCGAGAAGTAAGTAATTACACGCTGCCTGGCCAACTGATTGGCCGGGAAGCCGGCTCCATGCTCCCTCGACACAAGTGATGAGGAAGCATGGAGCCAGCTTCCTGGCCATCAGGAGGCCGGGCAGCGTGTAATGACGCGCTGCCCGGCTTCCTAATACAGGAAGTATCAGGCTAGGCATCAGAGCATTTGGACGAGTACGAGTACTCGCCCAAATACTCGGCATCGGCACCGATACCGATACTAGTATCGGTTTCGGTGTATCCCTACTTACAACACAGCCAAAATTAGACACAACCCCATGTGTATTGTGCTACGCTGTAGGGTGGGTCCATTGCAGCTACTGTTTTGGTGCTCTGGGGTCCCATTCAAAGTGAATAGCATCACAATGCACCATTTTACTGCATGTTACCACAATATATGTGTGAATAGGCCTTAAAAATGTTGATTTTTAAAAAAAATACTTACTTACTATGAAACATTATGCACAAAATATAGTGCCATCCTAAGATGCCTTTTTCAAGAGGATCAATTCATATTTATCCCACTCGTGATTACCACCTAAATAATTTGGACCCAATACAGTGCCACTGTAATTCATGCATTTTGTGCAATAAAGTAGCATTCACTTATGTACGGCAGCGGTCTGTTGCCAGCTGACAAGTCGGGCACACAGTCACGGACCACGTGCCCGACTTCCGGGAGCAGCTACACGGTCTGCATCTCCGACAGATGCAGACCGCAGAGCTGCTCCTGTCAGCTCTGGCCGGAGCTCAGTCAGTTCTGAGCTCCGGCCGAATGATGGATCATTAGTAAGGTCTAGTGCAGACCTTACTAATGATCACCACTAGATCACCAGGGAACAATGATGTGCCTCCTCCCTGCATGGATGAAAGCAGGTGAGGGGACATGGAAGGAAAGAATGGAGGGGGGCTTTATTAATATATGTGCTGAAGTTTATGATGTGTGCTGGGGGGCTTGGGATGAAGTATATTATGTGTGCTGG